TTTTGGAACCAGTTCCAATTCTGGAACTGCTTTTTGAATCTCTTCGGTTCAGTTCCAAACCGGTTCCAGACCTTTACCGGTTCCAGTTTCGGAATAGGTACTTTTCCCAGCACTAGTTACAAAAAAAAAGCTATTATTTTTATTATTTCAAGATTTATGTTTTTAATTTGGTTTTTAAAATTTGTTGTTTTAATTTTTTTAGAAAAATTTCTAGATTTTTCTTATCATTGTAAAACCTTTAAAAAACAAATTTACAAACTTTTTTCCTAGAATCGCCAGAATCACAAAGTATTCTAGCTAGAGTTGCACGTTTTATTTGTTTTATTTGTTCACTGGAAAGTATGTCTGGGTTCTCGTAGAAAAATCTGTGGAAAAAATTAATTTAATAAAATTATTTGTTTAGAAATTTTGATGTAAATTCTACAAGAAAATTACAGATTAGAACAAAAGTTTAATTTTTTAATTCTTGGAAGAAGGGGATAATGTTTGAACTATTTTTGATTAATACATGAAGGAATGTTCCGACATAAAAAATTAATTCCCGATTTCGGAAATGGCGAATCGAAACGGCATATTCTCCCCTTCTAAAAATTTTAGCTCGTCCTTAAACTAAATTTATGTTTAAGGATTATGCTAGTGTAACTTAGAAATCTCGAGATATAGAAACAGAAAGGAATGATAAAAAATTGGAGAAAAGAGCCAATTTTGTTTCAAATTATTTGAATGTTATTCGAGATTTTTATTTACTTTTACCATTAAAATTCAGGGTTGCCTAAGGTCAAAGATTTATTTTATAATTTAGAAAATCCTTAAAATTTTGTTCGAAATCTTTTGTAGAACTTACCGATCACCATCTCTTAGAGCCTTGAACTGCTTGGAAACAACACAGGCTAATGTTGGACCTTAAAAATTTGTTAAAAATAAATGTGAAAAATAGAAAATGATTTTTAAAATCTCCCCCTCTTCTAAAGGGGATTATTTTTTAACACAGCCAAAATGTTAACAAATCATTCGATAACCCATGGAACTTAGAAGAAAAAATTTTAAAAAATTTCTTTAACGAAAAATGGAATCTGAAATGCGCATTTGCCATTAAATAGCTAAAACGTTGTTTAGCTTACAAAAAAATAATTTTTTAAAGTTTCTTAAACAAAAAAGATTTTTCAAAATTTACATTTTATAGAAATTATTTTAGATTTTTCATATCAAACATAAAATTAGGTAACGGGTGTAATAAATAGTAATAAGGTATTGGGGATTATCCGAACACCGATACCCTGATACTTTTGCATATTAAGTCCAATATCGGACCCAAGAAGGTGCTAATATAATTTATGTAATGGACAAGTGGCGGGCGCATAGTGTTTTGGGATATTTGTGTTAAATTTCGGCTTTGCGTTCGTTATGCCGTGGCCTTCCAAAATTTTCGAAATTTCGCCTGCGGCGCTGAAAATAGTGATAAACGAAATTCCCCGATATCCGTCTTAATAACACACCTCCATTAATAACAGAAAAATGGATAAAAGTAAAAGTTTTTAATAATAATTAGAAATTTTAAATAATAGGGGGTTAGAGAGGATATCGTTGTCATCCTTGTTCCCCTAAATCAACTTTTATTCGTCTGAAATCCCCAGTAATCCTCTTTTATCACCGATAACCCGCCAAATCATTGTCCATCAAACCCTTATATTAAAAAATTTATTTCTTTAATGATACATAGATTTTTATTTTAAATTTCATTTTTGTGTTTCTTGTGTTTTGCATTGTTTTATGGCCGTGTTTTGCGTTTTTGACAATTGTCTCTTATCCTACCCCTTAGCAAACTTCATTTACTATATTAACTTTTGAACCAAATTAAAATATATCTCCCTTAAATTTCAAAAACCCACAAATAAGAGCCCCTTCAATAGGATCCTCTAAAAGAGCGCCAACATACATATCAATTAATTCAACTTTTTTATACAAAATTTTCAAGTTTTCCCTCACAATTTCATTACTAATTGTTGTGTTTAAATCAGCAAAGTCTTTGACATGTGGCAAATTACATAAACTACGCCAAGCAATATATCCAGGAATTCCGTGGTCTCTCCCTCGTTGAATGTTGATTGAACTGGAAATTGAGGGGGTTTTTTAAATTTAAATCTCTAATGAATAATAGCTAAGGTAAAAAAAGCTTAGCTTCCAAAAAATTTAAAAAAAAATAAGAAAAAAAACATTGAAAATAAGAATGCGAGTTATTCATTAGTATATAATTGAAATACTTATATTAATTAAATTTTTATTTTTAAAGCTATTTATATTGGGTTGCCGCTTGCTAATTTAATGATAATTTTACAAAATTCACTCTAAAGGCCTGTGAATAAATTTAAAGATAGAAATACAATGATCAATAGCATTATAATTCCCCATAGTCCAAGTCTTTTGTCTCGGAAATTTTTGGTTAAAATAATAAATCTGCCAAGCTTTCAGAATTTTATTAAATGAAAGAAATTTTTATTATTCCTAATTTTAAAATTATAGTAAAAACTAATGTGGGACAAAACCGTTTAGCTAAACGGTAAACGGTATACGATAAACGGGTTTTTTGCTAAAATTAAACGAAACGGTAAACGGGTCTCAGATAAACGGCTAAACGGTATACGGTCCTTCTAAACGCCGTTTAATTCGTTTAATTTTTTCTTAAAATTAGTGGCTTAAAACGTGAATTTTTGCCGTCTGACACACTAAAATCAAAAAATTTTCGCCTGCGGCGCAAAAAATGGAAGATCCTCTTAATCCGAAGATCCCTTTAAAAATGGAAGATCCCCTGATCCCCTTAATCCTATGATCCCCTTTAATAACTCCTAATCTACCGATATCCCAACTCAATCCTCCTGTATATATTCAAATCCTCCAAATTTCAAAACCACTGATATCACTCTTAATCACCAGGAGTGATATCGTCTTCAGCCCATCCTTTACCCTCTTAATCCATCGATATGATGAATTTATTGTTGAATTATAAATTTTATAAAGAGGGGTGAGCAAAATTAATGAATTTTTATCGATTTTTGTGAGTTATGAATTGATTAAAAAATTTTAAAAATAAACGGTAAACGGTCGTTTAAACGGGTTTTTAAAATTAAACGAAACGGTATACGGGTCTCAGATAAACGGCATAAACGGTATACGGTTTTTTCAAAATTAAACGGTTTTGTCCCACCCTAGTAAAAACCCAACACAAAAAGAGCGAAGGGATTTTCTTTTAAAATTAAGTCGCAGTTGTATAACTTCTTAAAATCGTACATTATTAAATAGCTAAAGCGCTGTTTAGCTTACAAAAATAAATCGAATGGAATGGAAAAAATCAATATGGCAAGGATTTAGTTAAGTAATATAAAAATTATTTTTAGATTTCTAAAAAATTATTTTTAGCTCAAAAATGGTCGTTTTCTGAGTAAATTGGAATTACTATTGTGTCTTTATTTCAAAAAGTTTAAGAATATTTGTCAAAAATAGACAAGAGTACCCAACTTTAAAAGCCCTCGCTTTATTATTTTAATTAAATTTAAACTTTTACCCCAAATCAGAATTTCCAAAAATTTTTTCAGTTAAAGAAACAGTCAGTCTTTGTGGCAGTCTTGCAGGTAATGACATTAAACCTAAAAAATATTTTTTTGAAAATTATTTTTAAAATAAAATTTTTTCCAGCAAAAATTACCTCTTAATAAAGGATCTATTCCATTATTTCTAAAAAATAAAAAAAATTTCTCAAAAAAATTCTTGGTACCTTCCCGTTATGAGGACACATCTAAAAAGAGATGTGTGAAAACCCTGAAACAGGAAAGTACCTTTTTACTTACAAAATATGGACAGATTTAAACATTCCTTCATTGAATGGTATTCCACCCAAAAATAAATTAATTTTTAAAAATATTTTAAAAATTTTTTTACCAATTTGAGCAAATTCTTGATTAAAGAAAGGATAAAACTCCTAAAAATTTTTTTGAATTTTAAATCATAAAGGAAGGAACTTGAATCATTCCATGACCAAAACGAAATGCACAACTTGTAAATTCATTCTAAAAATTAAAAAAATTATGGAAGAATTTGGAGAAGAGTAGTGACGAAACTCTCTCACTTCTTTCCTTATTATCGAGATTTTTTGAGAGATTTTTATTTAAGCTTGCATTATAGTCACAAAAATTCAAAAGATTGGCCAAAAAAGAAATAAATGATAATGTTGTGTCCGCTCTTGCAGAAAGAACATAAATGAAAATAAGATAACGCATCATCGGGTTGGATGGTGGCACAGTCGGTTGTGCTTCGGCCTGAGCTCATTCCATGATGGTTCAATTCCATCTCCCATTCATTTAATTTTTCCACAGCATGAACCTCGTATACAATTGATAAAAAAGTGAGCCCTGAACGAATTAGCCAATGAAAAATTGGCTTCCAAAAATAAAACACACCCGTATTGAAAAGTCTTGTGTTTAGTATTTAAATCATGTTATTTAAACAAAATCTTTGTTAGATTAATTAATATAAAGTAGGGTTAATCACAATCGATTATTAGCCCGTATCACCGTGTTATAGTTGATCTTTGGCAATATTTATTGGATAGGATATGGAATGAAACTACAATATAATGTGCCAGAGCGATACGATTTTTTGAATATCCGATGCCGCTTTTTGGTTAAAATTCAAACACGTTTGTCCTATAAATGAAGTAAACTAAAGCAGCTGGGCTATAGCTATTTCTCTCCTTTAGCTAGTGCAAAAGGTTAATAGGCGGCTGGAAGCGAACCAGCATCTTCAGCGAGCCAGCATCTTCACTGATGTGCTAGCAATTACACCACGCCGCCTTCTGCATAGCCTTAGGAATTAAATAGCTATATGCTTTACAGTAATATTCTTCAGTAAATACTTTTGAGGAATATTCTCGTCACCGGTTTTCAATCCCGGTTTATTAGACTGTTTGTTCCCGAACACAATAATTAGGCAGAAAATTTCACAAAAATTTAAGCAATTTTAATAAATCTTACGAAAATATAAGGAACAACTTTTGGATTGTATCCCTTGTATTTTCCAATAAGTTCATCAAATTTTTTTCCAAAAAGCCTAGGCAAATAATCTTCATATGTTATTTTCTGAAAATTAACAGAAAATTCTCCAAACTCATTTAATCATTAAATACTTGTATAACAGCCCCCACAATTCTTCTAGTCTCCAAATAAATTCTGTCATGGTCCCAATGCGGGTTAACCTTTTGAAGAAGTAAAGCAATACTTAAGGGAAATAAAAGTAGGTAGAAAAGTTTATAATAAATTGGTAAACGTTTTTTCATTTATCTCTTGCCTTTACCCCTGCCCTTACCCTACCTTACTTGCCCTTACCCAGCCTTTACCCTAACCATATAGAGTTTAGTCCGCATTCGAAATATAAATTCCAGATTTTAGGATTTGGAAATTCCGAACAAAAAACTTCAGGCTGGTTATACGTTATGAAATTTTAAAAATTTTATTCATCGTTGTACTTGAAAAACTCGACAGAAATCCGATCGGCTAGACATTAAATAATTGCCTAAGAAATATTAAGCACCCAAAAAAATAAAAAGCTGTGATTGAAAATGAGGTGATTGCTAAATTAAAAAACATTTATTAATGTTTTTGTCGACAGGTGGAAATACACGGGAACGAAGGACGTTTGTTTTCATAAAAGCACCTTGGCGAAACACAAATTGGTCTCGATGGCTGCTTCCATAGACCTTTTGATAATTACTGTGTTTCTTCTAATAGTGCGACTGTCTCTATTAGACCGACCCCTCTAATAAACCGAACATTGTTGTATATGGCTCCGGGAGTCATCTGTGGCGTAGCGAAGAATTTGAAAACGCCGGAAGCCAACAAATGCTCAATACCAAGCCCTGAAACCGACCCTCTAGAGGATGGTTGAAAAATAAATCGATCGGTCGCATTATTTGAAGAAATACGGGATATTAGGAATTAGATATTTATATCATATAAATTGCCTAAGGAATATTAGGCATCCAAAAAATTAAGATCCGCCTAACTCTGTGAAACGATGTTATTACTGTGTCAAATAAATATTATTAACAAAAATCTATTCAAATAATTCATATGTAATAGATAATATACTGAAATATGCATTACCAGAATGTCGAGACAATTTTTTAATATTATTTTTAATATGCCCGAAAAATTATTTTTTCCGGAAACACTGTTTTTTTTGAATTTCTTGAAAAATTAAAAAAAAATTAGAATTTCGCGCTCATGCCTGAATTTCTCGAATTAATCCGGTATGCAGGTATAAATTGTAACAGAAATCTCTGATATCATTTAAATTTATAAACTCTTGATTGTTTAAATATCAATTTTTAGTAATTTAGATTACTAAAAAATTAATTTTAACCCATCTGAAATAATATCAATTGTTTTGTTTTGAAACTTTAATAAACATTAAATTATTGTCTAAATGTTTGAATCCTTTCGAAGAGGCAGTGTCTATTATTTTTGTAAGTCGGAACTGTTATGTATCGACTTGCGGTGTGTCCGAAACTAACAGAAAGACTAACTAACAAGCTCGCTAACAAGGTTTATCACAAAGGTAACAATTAGGGTTGTTGGCGGTCGGTTAACCGAACCGGAACCGTTAACCGGTGTTTTTGGCGAATTAACCGGAACCGAAAACCGGGGGTCGAAAACCGGCGATAACCGAAAACCGGTGACCAAAACCGCCCGGTTGCGGTTTTAAAAATACACCCCTAACGATGGAAATTTTTGGGAATCTTTCGGAAATTTTAATGACTAAAATACATTTTGGCAAATATTTTTATCAGAATTATTAAAAAAGTCAAAATAGGTATATGTATATTAATTTTTTATTTCCTTGAGGAGATGCGTGGTTTAGTGGGTAAGTTGGCAGGCGACAATGCCCGTAGGATTGGGTTCGATCTTACTTTGTGAATCAAGTTTAAGTTTTTTTTTTCAAAAATGAAGTTTAAGCTTTTAATTTTGATCTTAAATATGCAAATTTATTTTTAAACATTATCAAAAGTGTAAAAAGTTGTAGCAAATTTTTTAAACAGATGAGGAGAAAGATATTGAAAACAGCGAATTTTTACCTACTGTTTTCAAAATTCTCAAAATTTTCGCCTGTGGCGCTGAAAAAGGAAGAAACCTGGGTTCTTGGCCTTCCAAAATTCTCGAAAATTTTCGCCTGCGGCGCTTGAAAAGAAAGAAATCTGGTGACTTGGTCATCCAAAATTCTTAAAAATTTCGCATCCGGCCAAAAAAACAGAAGAAATCTGGCTATTGGCCTTCGTCGAATAACGATAAATAATCATAAAAAAGAGCTAGTATTTTCCTTAAATTGTGGTAATAATCATGTTTCTTAAATTTTCGAAAAAGCCATTATTAGACCACTAGTCTCAATTATTTCAACTTATAGCGTCGAATAACGATAAATAATCATAAAAAAGAGCTATCCTTAAATTGTGGTAATAATCATGTTTCTTAAATTTTCGAAAAAGCCATTATTAGACCACTAGTCTCAATTATTTCAACTTATAGCGTCGAATAACGATAAATAATCATAAAAAAGAGCTAGTATTTTCCTTAAATTGTGGTAATAATCATGTTTCTTAAATTTTCGAAAAAGCCATTATTAGACCACTAGTCTCAATTATTTTAACTTATAGCGTCGAATAACGATAAATAATCATAAAAAAGAGCTAGTATTTTCCTTAAATTGTGGTAATAATCATGTTTCTTCAATTTTCGAAAAAGCCATTATTAGACCACTAGTCTCAATTATTTCAACTTATAGCGTCGAATAACGATAAATAATCATAAAAAAGAGCTAGTATTTTCCTTAAATTGTGGTAATAATCATGTTTTTTAAATTTTCGAAAAAGCCATTATTAGACCACTAGTCTCAATTATTTCAACTTATAGCGTCGAATAACGATAAATAATCATAAAAAAGAGCTAGTATTTTCCTTAAATTGTGGTAATAATCATGTTTCTTAAATTTTCGAAAAAGCCATTATTAGACCACTAGTCTCAATTATTTCAACTTATAGCGTCGAATAACGATAAATAATCATAAAAAAGAGCTATCCTTAAATTGTGGTAATAATCATGTTTCTTAAATTTTCGAAAAAGCCATTATTAGACCACTAGTCTCAATTATTTCAACTTATAGCGTCGAATAACGATAAATAATCATAAAAAAGAGCTAGTGTTTTCCTTAAATTGTGGTAATAATCATGTTTCTTAAATTTTCGAAAAAGCCATTATTAGACCACTAGTCTCAATTATTTCAACTTATAGCGTCGAATAACGATAAATAATCATAAAAAAGAGCTAGTATTTTCCTTAAATTGTGGTAATAATCATGTTTCTTAAATTTTCGAAAAAGCCATTATTAGACCACTAGTCTTCATTATTTCAACTTATAGCGTCGAATAACGATAAATAATCATAAAAAAGAGCTATTATTTTCCTTAAATTGTGGTAATAATCATGTTTCTTAAATTTTCGAAAAAGCCATTATTAGACCACTAGTCTCAATTATTTCAACTTATAGCTTCGAATAACGATAAATAATCATAAAAAAGAGCTATCCTTAAATTGTGGTAATAATCATGTTTCTTAAATTTTCGAAAAAGCCATTATTAGACCACTAGTCTCAATTACTTCAACTTATAGCGTCGAATAACGATAAATAATCATAAAAAAGAGCTATCCTTAAATTGTGGTAATAATCATGTTTCTTAAATTTTCGAAAAAGCCATTATTAGACCACTAGTCTCAATTATTTCAACTTATAGCGTCGAATAACGATAAATAATCATAAAAAAGAGCTAGTATTTTCCTTAAATTGTGGTAATAATCATGTTTCTTAAATTTTCGAAAAAGCCATTATTAGACCACTAGTCTCAATTATTTCAACTTATAGCGTCGAATAACGATAAATAATCATAAAAAAGAGCTAGTATTTTCCTTAAATTGTGGTAATAATCATGTTTCTTAAATTTTCGAAAAAGCCATTATTAGACCACTAGTCTCAATTATTTCAACTTATAGCTTCGAATAACGATAAATAATCATAAAAAAGAGCTATCCTTAAATTGTGGTAATAATCATGTTTCTTAAATTTTCGAAAAAGCCATTATTAGACCACTAGTCTCAATTATTTCAACTTATAGCGTCGAATAACGATAAATAATCATAAAAAAGAGCTATCCTTAAATTGTGGTAATAATCATGTTTCTTAAATTTTCGAAAAAGCCATTATTAGACCACTAGTCTCAATTACTTCAACTTATAGCGTCGAATAACGATAAATAATCATAAAAAAGAGCTAGTATTTTCATTAAATTGTGGTAATAATCATGTTTCTTAAATTTTCGAAAAAGCCATTATTAGACCACTAGTCTCAATTATTTCAACTTATAGCTTCGAATAACGATAAATAATCATAAAAAAGAGCTATCCTTAAATTGTGGTAATAATCATGTTTCTTAAATTTTCGAAAAAGCCATTATTAGACCACTAGTCTCAATTATTTCAACTTATAGCGTCGAATAACGATAAATAATCATAAAAAAGAGCTAGTATTTTCCTTAAATTGTGGTAATAATCATGTTTCTTAAATTTTCGAAAAAGCCATTATTAGACCACTAGTCTCAATTATTTCAACTTATAGCTTCGAATAACGATAAATAATCATAAAAAAGAGCTATCCTTAAATTGTGGTAATAATCATGTTTCTTAAATTTTCGAAAAAGCCATTATTAGACCACTAGTCTCAATTATTTCAACTTATAGCGTCGAATAACGATAAATAATCATAAAAAAGAGCTAGTATTTTCCTTAAATTGTGGTAATAATCATGTTTCTTAAATTTTCGAAAAAGCCATTATTAGACCACTAGTCTCAATTATTTCAACTTATAGCTTCGAATAACGATAAATAATCATAAAAAAGAGCTAGTATTTTCCTTAAATTGTGGTAATAATCATGTTTCTTAAATTTTCGAAAAAGCCATTATTAGACCACTAGTCTCAATTATTTCAACTTATAGCTTCGAATAACGATAAATAATCATAAAAAAGAGCTATCCTTAAATTGTGGTAATAATCATGTTTCTTAAATTTTCGAAAAAGCCATTATTAGACCACTAGTCTCAATTATTTCAACTTATAGCGTCGAATAACGATAAATAATCATAAAAAAGAGCTAGTATTTTCCTTAAATTGTGGTAATAATCATGTTTCTTAAATTTTCGAAAAAGCCATTATTAGACCACTAGTCTCAATTA